CCACTGTTAAAATAGTGCTCAATACATCAATTGTAGAGCGATATAGAAATACCACTGTTAAAATAGTGCTCAATACATCAATTGTAGAGCTATATAGAAATACTACTGTTAAAATAGTACTCAATACATCAATTGTAGAGCTATATAGAAATTGAACTGTTAAAATAGTACTCAATACATCAATTGTAGAGCAATATAGAAATACTACTGTTAAAATAGTACTCAATACATCAATTGTAGAGCTATATAGAAATACTACTGTTAAAATAGTACTCAATACATCAATTGTAGAGTGATATAGAAATACCACTGTTAAAATAGTGCTCAATACATCAATTGTAGAGCGATATAGAAATACCACTGTTAAAATAGTGCTCAATACATCAATTGTAGAGCGATATAGAAATACCACTGTTAAAATAGTGCTCAATACATCAATTGTAGAGTGATATAGAAATATCACTGTTAAAATAGTGCTCAATACATCCATTATAGAGTGATATAGAAATACCACTGTTAAAATAGTGCTCAATACATCAATTGTAGAGTGATATAGAAATACCACTGTTAAAATAGTGCTCAATACATCAATTGTAGAGCGATATAGAAATACCACTGTTAAAATAGTGCTCAATACATCAATTGTAGAGCGATATAGAAATACCACTGTTAAAATAGTGCTCAATACATCAATTGTAGAGCAATATAGAAATACCACTGTTAAAATAGTGCTCAATACATCCATTATAGAGCTATATAGAAATACTACTGTTAAAATAGTGCTCAATACATCAATTGTAGAGCAATATAGAACTGTTAATACAGAATCTGAAACATGTTGTTACTGAGTTTTATGCTGAAGATCACAGCATGAAATTTTTAGAATGTTTTTAGCATGTTTCAGGTTCTGTTTAGTATTTCTAAACATGTTGTACCCATATTAAAAAATAAAACTTACTACTGTCTTTTATGTGTAGAATAAGTCTGGCTACCAGAGCTAGGTATTCCTCCTGAAAATAAATACAATTACTTTATTCAATAACATGGTTAGTCCATTCTTTTGTCACTTACATGAAAGAATTAAAAAAAAAATTCCTTTCAAGATGCTACTGTCTAAAAGTTTAAAACTGCCACCAAATTTCATCTCTATCAGAAAGTGGAAATTGGAGTGCAGTAGTGTCTGGACAAAGTTTTTATTGAGGTCCGAATAGGGTGCCAGTTTAGATCTATTTAGTCTATATCGACAGATCTATGGTTTTGATTCCACTTTTTTTAATTATTTTGTGAGGGATACTGACAATTTTTTAATTTTCAATTCAAAAATTCAGTCTAAAGTATGAATTGATAACGCCTATATAACAGGGCAAAACCTTTGTTATATAAACGAATAGAAACCAAATCCATCTTGAAACTCCTTTTTATTCATCTAAATATGAAAAGGATTAGGGAAAAGGCTTTTGCTTATTTTACAAAAAAAAAAATGATATGATATATATATAAGTGCAAAGTCAGAATTATAATTTTGACTCTCCTTCATAGTTCATACCTTAGATTTGGCTTTGTTATGTACATGTGTTTCCATCTCTTGGCTGGTCTTACTAATGTGGGGTCCTGCTTGTCGGATAGCATCGTCACTGACAAAAAGAACATAAAAATGATTATTGAATTTGGAACAACTGCTTAGCCGGGCCAAGCTCACACGCGGAATTTACTAAGCATAACTGGATATTCAAAGATTTCAATAAAGTCATATAGCCTATATTCATTCTCACATATTTTGGACTACTTTCAATCTAATTGATAACCATAGCGTAGGTTTATATCATGGCAGTTTAGGACCATCTTACATCTTGAATTTTTTTACATCAAAGTGCAGGTACCTTCTACGAACACTTGCAGTAATTCATTAATTTCTCTCAGATGTAACAATTCTGAGTATCTATCAAGCATTTGAGTATTTGATAAGGAAAAGGAAACCTGTCAAAATTAGTATGACAATGAAGGAATAATAAAGAAATAGATATTTAGATTTTTTTCTAAAAAAAAAAAGGCCTATCTTACTAGTAAAAGAAAGTTACATAACTTGTGTTATATGGGACAGGTGTGACACAATTGACAGATGCAATATTCAATAAAATCAACCCAATTCATTGACTTACATTTGAGCAACAAGCTGATTTCTAAAACTTTGAGAACGCCAATCTTGTCCATCCGCCATCTTGAAGAAGTTATCTGCCCTTGAATGTAGGGAAGGGAGGTAATTCAACAAAAACCCAGACAACAACGACTTCATTATTCAGCGATATACAGATTTATCAGATATTCTTTTACAAGGGATGCTGATTTGACAAACCAAGCTATGTGGATACTCTGCAAGTGATGCGAAGTTGAGGCTATTAGTATCTGGGGTAGTGGACTTGGGCACAGATTATAAGCCTAGGCCTATTACAAGTCTTACTTTCTACAAGACCGACTAGGCCTACTTCCCAGGAAATGGCAATTTACCGTACATGGGTTCAAGAATAATCAATAAAGTAATCAAACAGTAAGGGAGACAGCAACTTAGTGATTTGTCATTCGAATGAGGACTGGTGTGAGATAAATATGGTATGAATTTTAAAAAGTTTCTATGACGGCTAAAATTCGCAAATTGCCCGTAAACTCTGAGTATTATTCTACATAGGCCATATATATGTCGATTAGACAGTACCAGTAAGAATTCATCAATGTATTCCAACTGTAAGTCAAGACATACATACAAAGTTTTAGTGGCCTGTACACCAGGAGGTACAGTATCATTGTTTCCAACACAGTAGGGGGAGATATGTCTGATGTTGAACTTGTTAGAAGATGTGGCATTTTAGATTTGTTTGAAAGGAGATAAAGTTGTGGCAGATAAAGGTTTTAATAATAAAGATGACTTTCTACTCTGTGATGTTGAATTAATAATTCCAGCAAAATGTCAGCAATACTGAAATATGGAATGCTCGAATTCAACAGGAATGAAAGATTTTAAAATTTTGCAAGGACAAATACCTCTGATTTTAAGTGATTTAGTTGACAATATTTTTTTGTTTGTGGTTGTCTTGTAAATCTATCAGGTGTTTTGGTACCACTTCACACACAGTAATTGATTAATAATTCACTCTTCAGTATAAGACAGCAACAAATACATGTTTGAGGTTACCAAAATTTTACTCTAAGTTGACTTTTAATATTTTTTTCATATTCTGTAAATGCTGGTAATTCCCTTTCTCTACCCCACTTCAAAGATTTTACATTGGCTGGTGCACTTTTGCAATTGAACATTTTTGGTACTATAGAATTATTCATCTGAAACTTTCATTTACTTTTCTGTAACACTCATGTGCTACTGATGCTGTGATGCGTCCAATTCGGTTATCAAACTATATTTTTGATTTAGTCTGTGTACAGGTTTGACGGGCAACATAGTCAATATTTTGTTCTGTTGTTGAATCTTTAAGTTTTAACATGAATTCTTTCACAAAATCACTTGTATTAATGTTTTCCTTTGATTCTAAAATTTCGTGATCAAGAACAGGTATGGTGTTAGCGACAGTTTCAACTTCCACTTCCATGTAAATATTTTCAATATCAGGATTAACCGCATTTAGCGGAATATAAAAGTATACCATTTGTTATCTCTCTTAGCCTATTTAAGTCAAAATCTGATAGTGTTTTTTCCTTGCGTCTGTGCCTTTTGACGAGCAACAATAGCCTTTACATAGCAGTAAGATATATTTGGACTAACTTGATGGTATTCAACTCCAGTAACATGTCCATATAAGTATAAACTTTCTCCTTCTTTTGTTGATTTTGAACGTCGGGACATTATGGTTCTCAGCACCTGTAAAATTAATTCAGTTTATACATATACATGTATAATACATCATAGAGTAGTTTATTGAAGAAACAAATCACGAACTTGCATGAGTGTAAACTAGACACACCTGCTTTGTTCTTTATTTATATGTTTGCACACAAGATAAGCCAAGAGGTGGGACCTATATACGAGGTGAATCAATCTACCGAAGTGATTGATTGCTTAATGCCCCAGTCCCCAATCATGTTAATCAGGTAGGCAAAACACTGTCAATTACTGTAGGCATCTTGTAACTCATATGAGTGCTCTTTGGAGCAACACACGTTTTGTTAATTGCCAGTTCATACATTTTGTTTTAACTTAAACATAAATAATTGTGAAGTCTATTCTACTTGAAAGTTATGAATGATACTGCTAAATAGATGAATATTTCAATCCTGTTGCCAAAAAAACTTATCACCACTGCTCTCTGTCTATAGCTTTTAAATAACTAGTAGAAATAATAGAGTAACCACTTTGACTAAATTGGGTATAAGATTATTACAAAAATATACCACAAAACAGTCAAATTGGTCGTGAATGTATTCAACCTGCATAGGATAGAACTCTGCTTGCCATCTAAAAGCTTTTAATCAGTTGAACCATGCCTTTAGAAATGAATGTAGCTTATAAGAACTAGTGAAGATCATCCAAAAACATAAACCATATTGAAAGAGGATAATCAGAACCTTCCCAAAACACAATTTGAACTAAGCCTGTGATTTTACTACTTTAAAAACTGCTGACAACGTTGTAAAAAAAGCATAAACCACAATGACGAAATTGGACAGGAAGTATAAATAACCTGCCACAAAATAGTCAAAGCGGTCTTTGCTCCACCATCTCTCATCCATTGCACCATCATACTGGTAGACTGGTACCTATAGAAACCACGCAAAGACCATATTGGGACTAACATTTGTATCAAATTGTGGCCAATCAAAAAGTATATGTAAATACCTAGTAGGCTACTTGAAATAGCAAAAAGCTAAAGTAGACCATCAATTTCAGATACAAATGTCATCACAATATCATTCCTGAAAGAAAATGAATATGATAAAAATTAGTAAAAGAAAATTAGAGATTAGTGGCCTGATAAACACAGATGAAATAAACTTACAAACTATACACACAACCTAAATTTCTTTACTTTGTTTACAAAAAAGGCATTACTTTGTTTCTCCTATCAACTAAAAAAAATTTGATTATAATGAGTCATCTCTAAAGATTTGGTACATAAATAGTACTCCATAAAATGCCATTCAGACATGACTCTGTCCGAACAATGTGACTATCCATCAAAAACCAATCAGGCATGGCTGTGTCGAAAAATGTGTCATACTCCCAAAAAGAGTGGCCCTGTCCTTCTATTTCCAACAAACATTGTACCCCATCGAATGTAGCTGTGCAACAAATGTGCCTATGATTAGCAAAATATGGCATTTCTACAGATGCTGCATATGGCCTACAGATGTTGTCACGAATTCAGCAACCATGTTATGTTTTCATCAAATTTGAACCCTTTCAAGGTATTGACAAAATGAATAATGGCAGATTTAAACTATTTCTAATATTTGCCGTAGGACACATGACACCACCTTCGAGGATCATGCAGCAAAGTGGTCCCCTCACCTACTGCATGACCACTTCCAGAGTGTCACACTGACCGACCATCCAATTTAGCAAATGGCAATACCCAATTTATCCCTACTGTGAAAGTGAGGTTTTCTAAAATTAACACTTATGTGAAAAATTCAACAACTGTGGTTTATGCACTACAAAAGTTACTATCCATCAAAAACCAATCAGGCATGGCTGTGTCGAAAAATGTGTCATACTCCCAAAAAGAGTGGCCCTGTCCTTCTATTTCCAACAAACATTGTACCCCATCGAATGTAGCTGTGCAACAAATGTGCCTATGATTAGCAAAATATGGCATTTCTACAGATGCTGCATATGGCCTACAGATGTTGTCACGAATTCAGCAACCATGTTATGTTTTCATCAAATTTGAACCCTTTCAAGGTATTGACAAAATGAATAATGTCAGATTTAAACTATTTCTAATATTTGCCGTAGGACACATGACACTACCTTCGAGGATCATGCAGCAAAGTGGTCCCCTCACCTACTGCATGACCACTTCCAGAGTGTCACACTGACCGACCATCCAATTTAGCAAATGACAATACCCAATTTATCCCTACTGTGAAAGGGAGGTTTTCTAAAATTAACACTTATGTGAAAAATTCAACAACTGTAGTTTATGCACAACAAAAGTGACTATCCATCAAAAACCAATCAGGCATGGCTGTGTCGAAAAATGTGTCATACTCCCAAAAAGAGTGGCCCTGTCCTTCTATTTCCAACAAACATTGTACCCCATCCAATGTAGCTGTGCAACAAATGTGCCTATGATTAGCAAAATATGGCATTTCTACAGATGCTGCATATGGCCTACAGATGTTGTCACGAATTCAGCAACCATGTCATGTTTTCATCAAATTTGAACCCTTTCAAGGTATTGACAAAATGAATAATGTCAGATTTAAACTATTTCTAATATTTGCCGTAGGACACATGACACCACCTTCGAGGATCATGCAGCAAAGTGGTCCCCTCACCTACTGCATGACCACTTCCAGAGTGTCACACTGACCGACCATCCAATTTAGCAAATGACAATACCCAATTTATCCCTACTGTGAAAGGGAGGTTTCCTAAAATTAACACTTATGTGAAAAATTCAACAACTGTGGTTTATGCACAACAAAAGTGACTATCCATCAAAAACCAATCAGGCATGGCTGTGTCGAAAAATGTGTCATACTCCCAAAAAGAGTGGCCCTGTCCTTCTATTTCCAACAAACATTGTACCCCATCGACTGTAGCTGTGCAACAAATGTGCCTATGATTAAGAAAATATGGCATTTCTACAGTTGCAATATGGGTTTGGCCCTCTGTGACAAATTTGGATATGATCTTCAAAAGTGGCATTCAAGGTTCAACATCCAACAGATGCAATTTAGTATGACAAATGTGGTAGACAGCAAGCCAGCAAACATTGCTTTTGATAACAACAATCTTGGCTTGTGTGTCAAAATTTGGATAATATTTCTAGCGAGATACACCCAAATTTTCATTATATCAAGGGTGGTCGCCAATCTGTGTCAAATCCTTCCAAAAATCTAACTTGTTATGGATATTGTTGATTTAAACAAACAGATAAAATTCTGACATAAACTGTTACCTCTATCTTGTTCATTTTTACCAAGTCGACGACAATAACTCAAGTTATGTTTATTGAAATATCTTTTTTTAGATGATCACACCAA